GGAACGGACTGCTGGGGGATGCCAGTGCCCTCCAGCGGCTGAACAGTGCCTTGGAACCAGGCGGCATCAGCTTGCATCAAGTTCTCAAGTGGGGGCACCAAGCAAAGCGCCTACAGAACTGGGGGAGGGAGCCACAGCTCCCCAGGGCACAGGATCGTCCTGGAGCGAGGCAACAACCGTCCGATCTCATTGTTGTCAGTCCCCAGACAGGGCTTGGTGAGTGTTCTTCTTGGGGGGAGGCAGCGCCTCCTTCAGAGGCCGGACAGTCAACAGCGGACCCTGTTCTGAGCCTCTGGCTTCAAGAGCAGGACAGAATTTCACCCCTGGCTTCACAGGGCGGGTATTCGCGCCAGCGTTCGAACGGGTCACCAGGTCAGCACTTTGGCTTGCTGTGGAAGAAGTCGGAGCTCTGCATGTTCTGTGGCTGTACCGCAAGAGCGCGCAGCGGTTCACGGCTTGCGTCACGTTGCTACACAACATCAGGTGTGCGGCAGCGATCCACTCAGCATCCCAGCACTAGTGCGTCGAGCTGCTGTCTGGATCTCAGCGCTTGCCACTGCACGTGGCACAATCAAGGAGGAGGACAAAGCGCTTGCTGAGCAAGGCGGCTCTAACAACCCTCCCTTGTTTGGTGAGGAGGCAGGGAGTTTCAGCCCTGCCCACAGACATCTCCGAGACACCCTCCACACTGTGCTGCTGAATGTCTCGTGGCAGAAAACCCAGAACTGGGCCACCAGAAGCCTCCAGTGCAGTGAGCACTGGAGCGAATGCTGAGGAGTTTCGCGGTAGGGGCAAGCAGAGTTCAAACAGCCGCAGCAAACTCCTCATTCTTCAATGGCTGGAACTTGCTGCCTCCCACACCAAGTGCAGGTGCAAGAATGCGTGTGCGTTGACACAAAGTTCAGGGTCGAGCAAACCTGCGTGTGTTGCTACAGGCGCGGAAACCCGGATCCTCCTGCAGGCAGATTTGGAGCAGCGGGAGGCATTCCATAGATCAGGGTAGGCAATCATTTTAGATGCGGGGCCACCACTCATTTTTGAAGTGACCCTGGGCTGCCCCAGAAGGGGCGGGGCCTCTGGTGGAAGGGGTGGGGCTGGGACACTTCCAAGCTCCCCTCCCACAGACCCTGACTGGCCTAGGGGTGGGGGAGCACTGCAGTCTTTGCCCCCTTCCTCCCCCTCCTAGAGAGAGCTGTCAGCTGTTCAGAACAGCTGGCAGTTCCCTCTAGGCACCTGTCCCAATGCATGGCAGGAGACAACTTCTCAAGCTGCCCCACCCCCAGGACAATCCGGACCTGGGGGCGGGAGCACGCGAAGGCTCTCGCTCCCTCCTCTCCCC